AAACTGCATTCCCAGTTTACAAAGTCTGAAGCTTCCTGCCAATGGATATTGCAAAGCAAAATACTGTGGCTGTTGGGAATGTCAAGAAATCGTTTTTGTCCTTGGGGACAACTATGAACTAGGGAGGACTGTCCTGCATGGCAGATGCCCCTGAGGAATTTGGTTTTAAAGCAGTACAGGCACTCTCATAGGAATGCATTCTCTGTGCTCCAGAACTTGTAAGGAGATTTATTCTTTTCATTGTATGCTACTGGCTTGTCTACACCTCTTTCCTGCTTCTCTCTGTTGTTTTTTATTTTCCTCTTTTAAATTATTCCTCATCCAGAGGCAAATTCCATCAGGTTCTGAAGAGGGTAGCTAATTCTCAAGTTTAAGCATTAGATGGAGCAAAGTCTTACGAAGAAGTAACTAACATGGCATTGTCTTTAAATGACTTGGTTTCATTTTGTTCTGAAAGGCAGTCTGAGACTTGTGGATGTCTGAAATGGGCTCATTCTGCATATTGGTCCTGAATATAAAGAGAGGTATAACTCTGCTCTGAAGACAGGTGCCTCAATTTTTGCTTGGGGTACCTAACTTTGGAGGGTATATTTTCAAAGCACTTCATCACCTGTTTTAAATAGAAGAGGACTGGGAAAACAGGAAGAAAACTGGCACAACTGCCAACATCCTCAGTCCAGAGAGCTGATTGCCTTCACTGTTTAGAATACATTTGTAAGCCTGAATATGATAAAAAGCAATCCTGATCTCATAGCTCAGTAATCTGTGCTTAGTGGCAGGCAGACATCTCTTATCCATGTTAAATCTTGCAGATCTGTAAGTGATTTTTTATCATATTAACGATGTTAGTTACTGCTGATCTGAGCTACTCTAATCCTATGTGATACTTGAGCAGAGCTTTAGGCTTGAGATAGAGCAACTTCTCTGACATGGGCAACTTTGCATCCACTGCCTTCTTTCCCACAGGAAGTTCCCTTTTAGCTAACATGAGTTAGAAACCTCCTGGAAATTCTGTGAAGTGCCTGGGATCCTTCTGTCCGTGCTGATGCTGGCAGCACTTGACTCTGTCTGATTATTTTAATGTCAAGTAGAGGTAGTGGAGTCTTTGCTTTGCAATTATTTGGTCATGGCAGGAATTCTGAATGGAGTACACTACCTGATGGGCAATATATATGGGACTGGACTGGTGCTCAAGTGTTGGAAGCACCAGCTGAGAAAAAAGAAATGCTCTATCTGGGTTTTTGATGAAAGGGCTGAGTGCTATTAGTAAGGCTCAGAAACTGCTGTTCCTTGTATCCTCACTGTTCCCATCTTCTTAAGAAACAGCAGTTTTTGAGTCCAGTAAGACACTACCTTAATCAATGAGCTGTTGTTTGTGAAGGGCACTGAGTACCAGGGCACTGAAGCCTGTGCTCCTCCACAGATAATTCTGTGCACCACTGGTTTCTGAAAGCAAAGTGAGCTCGCTGTTCCCCTCTAGTACCAGCTGAACTCTAACCAGGGGTGGAAAGCTTACTCCTGTCAAATGCTACGAGGCAGGAAAGGCTGAAAAGTCCAAAGAGTCTCCACAGACCTGATATGCACTTAGTCAACAGCACAGTCCAGATGGGTTATTAACCCAAACATACATACTGCAAGGCTGCCAGGAGCCTTCCCTAAATCCACACAACAGAGTTCTGCTTGGGAGCTGATGTTTATCATCTGTTGCAATTTTCAACATGTATAGTGTGTACATCAAAAGACAAATGATGGATATGCACTGGCCAGTGCACACTCCAGTTTCATAAATTATTGCAAAGAAGCTCGATTATATGCTTTTTCAGAACTATTGTCCATTTTGTTTTAATGCCTGAGTACTGAGTTAACAAACATGTGGTCAGGGACTCCCTCTGAAATAGGGCTGGACCTTTGCAAAGTCAATATTTTATTTACTGACTAAGAGTAAGGCACCTGAGAAGATGTTTTAAGGTGATAGCAATGCTTTTCATTAGCTGAAGGTGGCATTTCAAACTTGACCGTGGCATGTTTAGTCATTAGTTTCAGTGCAATTGGAGGGTGAAAGTGAGTGAGACCTGGTCAGGCCAAAGAAAGGGAGAAAAGGCAGAGGTTACATGGGCTTTCATCTTTTGAGGTGGAATAAAAATACCTCAAACACCAAATCAACAACTGAGACTATTTCATGCCTTATTAAAAACCAAGCCAATATAACAGAAAGGCTGTAAGTTTCTTTTGCTGTTACTGACATTTGTTATGTCTCCTAGATATGGCTTAATGACTTTTCCTTGCTAAATACACTTAAAATTTAGACAGGACTTTGGAAAAATAGTATTTTCAGTCCACCTGATCTTCCTCACAAAACTTTTGCTTGTTGCTGTAGACCTCCATAGTCTATTGAATTGACATATCATTTAATATATTCTTCTTTCTACTTGTATGTATCAAACTTAGGGGGCTGCTTTACCAAGTACTTAAACCTGACTCTGTCATCCTCCCTCTGCCCCTTTACACTGATTTCTCCTCAGCCTGCAAGGGCACTACCTCAGCTTTTGCTTGCACCCAGAATTACACCTTTCTCATTCCCTGGGCTTGGTAGAAGGCAACGCTAAGAAACGGCACATGTTGCTTAAGGAAACCTATATAAGTGGACATTGCAGTGGGTGATGAGAGGAAATCACTGCAGCCTGAGGCTGGGAAGAAAAGAGACACCCTAGTACCCTCTGCTATTGCCTATACGAGAAATAACTGATAACAGCAGTAACACAATGAAGACCTCTTATTTTACAGATCTTTCCTATGTCCATATGTGGGCTCCAGGACAGGAGAGCAGTCCAGATAACCAAGGAGCCGGGGAGGAAGCCTTCCGGGTGAGGTGCTGCCAAACCCTCAACAAGTTGAAGGAGGGTAGATTTGGGGTGAGGAAGAGGAGGGCTCTTCTCCTGTTGTCTTTGTTTCCGTCTCTAATGACGATGTCACACTATTTCCACGGCTGGTCCTGCTGCACAGCTGGGTCACAAAGGGTTAGGACAGAAAGCAGCATGTGCACTTTTAAAACTACATGCAACAAAGTCCGCTGCTTGAAGTCCGGGTCCCCTCTTCCCCCGCCCCTCCCCAGCTTCCAGCAATAATTTATTATAAAGGGGTTTTATGATACAAATTTGATAATCTCCCATACACATTGGCACTGTTCTAACTGGAGTTGTAAGCCCATAAAATTCAAGCCCTTTGTTTTCATGAAGGCCACAAGGTTTTAAAAGATACTATTGTACCGCCTAAAACCCATAAAATTGTCACTAGGGACTGATTAAACAGTCCTGAATTGAAACAGTGCGGATTTTGTCTAGGTCCTTTTCATGCAGAACAATGGTCTTTTCAACCCCCAAGACAAAAGGAGGTTTAAGGAGCGATTCTCCGGGAGATTCTTCTAAGATAACCCCATCCATATGGGAGACAAGGTGGCCAGCAGCTGAGACAAAAAAAAAAAAAAAAAAAGAGGGGGAAAAAAAAAGTTTTGGATGGTAGCAGGAAAAATAAAGGGAAGGGGGAGAAAGACAGCAACAACCAAAAAAAACAAACAACCAAAAAAAAAAAAACAAAACAAAAAAACCCCAAACAACAAAAACCCACAACCAAACAACCCAAACGGTCCTTCCCGCCCATCCCAGAAGCCTGGTCCACTCTCCATCTCCTCCTTGGCACATGCCCCTGCCCAAGCAGGGAAGGGGATGCAGGTGGGAGGACCGGCGTCTCTTCATCCTCCCCAGCCTTCTCTGCCTTGCACCTGGGTCTGATCCTCCCGCAGGGAGGTCAGAAGAGAAACCAAGCAGCCCCTCGGGAGGGGACGCAGCCCTGGGGAAGGCAGCTCGGGCAGAGGAGAGGGGCTATGCTGCCACCCCGCATCCCTGCTCCCCGAGGGCTCCCCGGGAAGTGTAGGCAGCAGGACACATCTCAGAGGCACATCTGGTCTGAAGTTATCCCCTTCCAGGGAATAAAGACAACAAACAAACCAAACCGCTTCTCCGGGTCCTTTTCCCTCGACAGCCTCTCCTCGGCGGAAGGTTGCCTGCATCAGTCCCCATGGGGTTTTCTCTCCCAGATATTCCCTCCTCGTTCCTGATCTGTGTTTCCATTTGAGGGATGGAGGCAGAAGGTCTGGTCTGTATTTCAGACACCTGTTTTGGTTTGGGTTTTGAGGGTTTTCCCCCACTGGCCGCTGCCAGGACAACCATATTCTTGTTTTCCCCGCAAAATTAATAAAATCAGTTGTTCATCAAAGAGTTTCAAAACGTAATTCTCTGGGTATTAAAAGGCGTTACTATTTTCTCTTGGCTACTCTTCTTTCCTCGGTAGATCTTTGGAAGAGGTCCAGACTAACGGGAAGATTGGCTTAATTCTGGACCCTCTTTTACCGGCTCTATAAAAGACCGCAGCGAACCGCGGCCCTGCCGGGCCCTCGGGCGCCGCCGCCCAAAAGGAGAAGTCCTGGCTCCTCCAGGGACGGGGGGCTCCGCGTTCACTCTCTCTCTGTAGGAAATATTACCCGGCTTACAATGAGATGCTTGTAGCAAACTTTATTCGCGGTTTACCGGCGCACGTGAGTAAAATAAACGAAATTGAAAGTCCGACGGCGCGATCGAGACAAGTATCTCAGCCTTTATGGCACGGGAGGTTATCCTACGAAAAACCCCAACCGTCAAACCTACACTTCTCCGTCGGGGAAAAAAAAAATACTATTTTCCAGAAAATCATTTTATTAGTCACTGGAAGAAGCAGCTATTTTAAAATAAACTACGTCGCTGGGATCGTTATGTCTTTAACAAGGAATCTCAGGTAAAGGAGCAGGAAGAGCAGAGGTTTTACAAAATCAGAGCCGCACCCGGCGTCCGCGCCTTCAGTGGGACCGACGTTGGGGGAAGCTGCCCAGGAGAGCCTCGCCCCTGCCGGCAGCACCGCCGCCCCGGAGCCGCACTCTGTCGCTCGGTCCGCCCGAGTCCGGCAGACACGGCGCCCCGGTGGCTTCCTCGCGCTAGGAGTCCGGGGCTGGGGCGGGCCTCCCCGCGCCCGTGGGATGAGTCCGGCCCCGGAGGGCGAGGCGCCGCTGTCACCATCCCCAGGAGACGACGGCGGGGTGCGCTAAGTGCTGGTAAGCGGGGAAGACGCCGAGGGCGGCGGCGGGCGGGCAGGCTCGGTAGCCCGGCAGGGCGAGGGCGGCCTGGGCGCTGCAGCCCGGCAGAGCGCAACCCTGCTTGGGACGGGCTGCGGGCGGCGGAGGGCTGGCTGGGCAGCCGCGGCAGGGCTCCCCGTCCCGCACCAGCACCGGCACCACCACCCGGCGAAGCAGGGTGGGCGGGCGCTGCTGGGGGCTTCCGGGGCCCTCGCTCCGCGCCCTCTTCATCTTGTAGCGGTGGTTTTGGAACCAGATCTTCACCTGGGTCGGAGTGAGGCTGAGCAGCCGAGCCAGCTGCTCCCGCTCCGGCGCCGAGAGATACCGTTGCTGCCGAAACCGCCGCTCCAGCTCTAGGGTCTGCGCCTTGGAGAAGAGCACCCGCCGCTTCTTTTTCTTCTCTTCGGCCTCCGAGACTCGGGCGGGGAGCGACCTTTGGGTGGAGTCGGGCAAGCTCAGCTCCGGGCCGCTCTCGTCGGAAGCTGAGGACAGCGAGGGGGTTAGAGAAAGGGGATGGCCGGGGCCGGGCCTTGGGGCAGCCACCCGGGAGGCGGCGGCCGTCGAGAGCCGAAGCACCTCCTGCAGGCAGAGCCCTGGCTGTTTACGGGGCCGGATTAATCCCGACAGTCAACAAGAGATCTGAGCTAACCCCCCCCGGAATACATTCAACCTGGCCCACAAGACGGAGCCGGCTTTTCACGCCCTGGGGAGAGGCTCTACCCGCCGCAGATCCCCTCACGGGCACGGACGCCTGGGGCTTGCGGGCCGGTAGCGTCTGTGCTCCTTCGGTGCTAAAGCGTAATACCGGGCTGCCCCTTTCATTACTGCTTTTCTTCAGCAGCTCGATTACCTTACTATTCAACTTATCCTAGCAGGGCTCCCGCATCATCCATCCAAAGGACTGTCTTCCCCCATGCACACACATTAAATGCTCTATATCTGCGGCACCATTTACGTGTGTAAGGCAAGACCAATGCTGTACGGAGACGGGGCTGTGGGCCGGAGCCTGCCCTCCACCATGGCAGATGTGTAGATCTAGGCACAGTGAGGCGAGGCTCAGGGATGTGCTATGATTCCCTTGGCGGTGCTTGGAGTGACCGAATCCCGCCGGCGCACACAGGCAGGATTTCTTGCAACAGTGAAACGGGGGAAAAAAACTAAGAATAATTAAAAAAAACAACCCAACCAACAAACCAAAACCACCACCACCACCAACAACAACAAACAACCACACACACACACACAAAAAAAAAAACACCACCACCAACAACAACCAACCACACACACACACAAAAAAAAAAAACAAACAAAAAACAAAACACCACAAAAAACTAACAAAACCCAACAAAAACAAAACAAATCCGGGAAGGGAGCTTAAAAGATAAGCACAGAGATACGGGCGATACAGGCTGAGGTTTTGCTTTCTGCAGTATCTGGGAACATGACAGACGTACGCGTGTGTGTGTGAAAATTAATATTTTCTCTCTTAAGCTCATGGCCGGGATATTCCTGCTGTTTCATTGTTGCAATTCAGCAATATTCTATAAAATTCTCATCCTGCATCTCCCCGATCCTGCGGGCTACACACACTGGCGATTCCCTTCTTTGCATCTTCCCCGAAGGAATAGGGGTAATAAATAAAAGCTGTGCGGAGATGGCGAATTCCTGTCCGTTTCATACTCACAGGGATAGTGATTTCTGTCTGCTTCTATCCACCCTCGGTACGGCGAGCCGGTGTAGTTCGCTGAGTGGTGATGGTCAGAAGCTTGCTTTATGCTATTAGCATCCTGCTCTGGTAAATCCAAAATGCTTCTCACTGTAAAACTGATCCTGCCAGATGTGGCCATGGTAGGCTGTGTACACACACACCAAAAATATCGTCCCAAAACCTCGAATTCCCTCCCTTAAAATCTGCGAGGAAAGGGCTGCGCCCGGTTACTGAGGAATCTCCCAGCTCAAGAGGACCTTTCCTTCCATCGCCACCTAACCCCAAATATTAGTGTCGTTTACAGAGGTGTCCTGTTTATATAAACAGTCCTCCCCACTGAAAACACTGCCTGCTTTCAAACCGTCCCTGTCTATAGGATGCTAAGTACCTGAATTAGTCAAGTGCTAAAGCCCTAATGGGAGTAGGTGTAACCCCCCCTCCCGCTACCCCCATGAGAGAATAACCCGTTACCTCCCAAAGACAGCAGGAAACAGGCTTCATCATTACATATTCTGTCTGATTAGCCAAAAGTGGGGACAGATAATGGTAATTGTTAGCAGTGAATAACATCTTGGGTGGCATGTGGATGACCAACAACCACCCCCCTCCATTCGCCACTAAAGCTACTAGCGTCCCTTCTATCCGCAGACAAAGTGAATCCTCCCAGGACATCCGCAGAGCCTGCCGAAAGCCCCGTCCCCGCTTCTCCCTCTTTATTTACTCCCCTTTTCCCTCTCTCTTTAAACCTGGAAGGAATTTAAGTCGTTATTTGTTTTATTTCCTCGGGCTGTTTGTCGTGCTACCTCCAATTCTCCCTCTTGTCATCGGCAGGTTTCCGACCCTCAGTGGGGGATTTTTCACACCTCGGTTGAGCTGTCGGCGGGGAAGGCTGGCGGGTGTGTGCGTGGAGGGGATGGGATCTCGGGGGAGAGTTTGCCTTTCTGGGCATGGTTCTGAAAGGTGCATCATTCTCCCAGGAAGGGTGATGGCATGATCTTGGCTGAGGAAACGCAGAGAGCCCAACACTCGCCTGTCCATGAGCAAGAGTCAGTAGGAGGGGTAGGAGATAAATATATTTTAGCACCATTTTGCGTCGTAGCACTAAGGAGTATTGGGGCATATGTGATCATTGGGCGATATGTATGTGTGACTGAAACAATTCAAACTGGGAGAGAGGGAGAAAAGATCAAACACGGCGCATTTATTTATCTATCCGGGCGTCTCCCATCCCCGCCCGGAGAGAGCTGCCCGAGAGCTGCTTCCTCTGCCGAAAGCATCAGCGCATAAGCCCGGAGCCCCTGTCCAGACGTCTGCAGACAGCGATTGGGCACGGCCCAGGGCCCGGGGGCAGCTCCGCTGTAGTCTCCTCAGACAAGCGGCTCCTCGCAGCCTGTCACCGCAAGGCCCCTTCCCGCCGAGAAGCCTCGATGACGGCGGAGGACTTGTAAAGCAATATGACATGGGAACACGAAGCCCGATGAGCCGCTTAAACTCAAACCCGCAGCGGGCGGGCTCGGTCCTCAGGGGCAGGGCAGGGGCAGAAGTGACTGATTAAATCGGGTAGCGCAGCGTGGGTCAAGCGTTGGGGCCGCAGAGGGAGGGAGCGCGACACGCTCCCCACCCTCGCGCCGCAGCGCCCGTCCCCGTCGCTTCCAGCCCGTTTCGCTGGAAGGACCTGACGCCCGTCTAGAAAACCAGTGGGTGGCAAATCCTGCTGGATGGAAAGCCTCGGGGGAAGGAGACACCTAACCTCCTCCTAGTTTCCTTTGATGGCAGCCCCTCCGAAGCGCGCAAGACACAGCCCCGCCGGACAAACGGCGCGAAACCCTGTGATGATTCTCTGAGGGCCCGGAAATAGAAACCCAGGTACACACAGAGATACTCTCCTGGCTTCGTTGGCTCAAATTTCCCTGTCCAAACAGACATCTATAAGCTGTAGTCTATAGATCGTTTTCATCCGTGCCCGCTTTCCGCCGCCCCGTAGGCCCGCTCCCCGTTGCCCGGGCCGCCGTCGCCCCTCCCCACCCTGTTCCGGGCGTCGCTTCTGGAAGCGGTTGCATTTCAGGAGAACAATGTCAACAGAGCAATAACGACAAGGGAAAGGCGAGATTTATATCGGCGAGATTTGTGGGCGAGATGAACTGGGCACAAGGCTCCATTTGGCCAACTTCCCGCATATTTCTTCGCGACTGGGCAGGTTCCATATGAACGATTCCCAGGCCGTGATTACTGCAGCCACCTATCAAGCGTGCTTGGTGACAACAGTTATCTTCCCCGCTCCAAGCACAGCCTCCCAGCCGTCCTGGGTGGTCAGAGAGAGGGGAGCACAAATACATGCCAACTGCTAGGCCGTGAACAAAAGGGAAATGTAGCCCTATGTCCCGGACCTGTTGGAAGCATTTGTTCCAGTCAAGATTTTGCATTTGTTCAGATCTGGAATAATAGGTGATTGACGCCTTCCCACAATGTGCTTTAACTCTCCGGGATAAATCGGAGCTTGTTCCTTGTTGTCATGGTTTTCAATAGGGTTCAATGGGATTGAACCACTATCGACTCTGCTTTACGTCTCCGGCAGCCCCGTCCATACAAATTTATTAGTTACGTCTTTTTAAATGAGATTAAATTGAAACGACATGGCCGTCCTCGGCGGAGTGGCTCCTCCCGCTGTCGCCCTGGTCCCGGTGTCACCGTCTCCCCCTGAGCCCGCCTGCCCGTGTCACGGCCGGGACAGCCCGGGGCCGGCGGGAGGTGGGCGCCAGCCTGGCCCCCCCTCGCGCCCCCCCTCGCCAGGTACGGCTGCTCTACTCTCCCCTGCCCGCCCCGCCCGAGCGCCACTGCCGCCCGCGTTCCCGGGAGCCCCGAGTATAAAAGGAGGCCGAGAAGTGCTTATTAATATATCGGCCCCGCAGGCAAATATTTGCCGAATGCCTGGGACAGAGCGGAGTTTCGAGGGAGGGGGAGGGGGGGGTGCGATGGGCGGCCAGGGGAGGGGCGGGGGCCGGGGTTCAGAGAGCCACAAACTTTTACAGTATCAGAGGTGGCTCTTACCAGGAGTTTGCCAAGGACACTAAAGAAAGTGGAAAACTTTCCAAGGAAAAAAAAAGTCAGGATGAGAGAGAGTCTACTTCAGTGACCTCTCTTAGCCTTTTAATCTATTTAACATCCTTAGCCCACACTGATGTGTAGAAATAAGTAAATGGTACTCTTCAACCTTTAAGAGCTCTTCAGCAACAAATATTTGCACTTACTCTTAGAGTTTTTCTCAAATAGCGCAAGACACATTCTCCTGGGACGAGCCGAGCTGTCTAAATATACCTACGCATTGTTATCTGCGGGAAATAGTTCGCTTCAAAGGGAGAACGTCATAATCCGAAATGTTTCATCTCTTGTTTTGTTCGGGACCGACTTAGATACTTTTCAGTTCTGGCTGCTCGGCCTCATCTCGGGGTTTGCCGGTTCAGATGTCAGTCTCTCCTGCGGCACTTCGGCGTTGGGGGCGGGGGGCACTCTCCCCGACAGAACCCCGACCTGCCGTCCCCCTGCGGACGGCATCCTTAGATGCCCCTCCGAGGGGTGGCTTTGCCATTCTCAGGTTGCTCCGCCGTGCCGCCGGGCGACTGGTAGCTCTGGACCGCCACCGAGACCCGACGGCGCCCACGGGGGATGAGACGGGGCAGGCATTTTTCAGGGGATGCCACACATACGAAGCAGTTCCCACGCGTGTTCTCTACCCTCAGAGGTGGTGGGACCGCAGGGCGATCCTGTAGCCGGTCAGTCGCTTACTCGCCCTTACGGCGAGTCTAGGCGGGCCTACAAAATGAAACGGAGTCTGTTTCCGTGGCCCCGAAGGGGTCGGCTTCGTGTGCTTGGCCTCCCCGTCCTTCTAGCTAAATCCACAGAAATACTTCCGCCCCCTCCATTCCCGCGCTTTTAAAAGAATCTTCACTTTTCCAAGAGGATAAAGAAAAAATATTTTACATTTAAAATGTTTGTTTCTTTCCACGTTAATCTCGGGGAGCCTTTCCGCCAGCTGCGTACTTGATTGCGGCTCACATAAACCAAACAGGGAACCAGGTAGCAGGGGAAGCCGACCCCGTCCCCCCGTGGGCCGGAGGCCGTAGCCCTGGGGGAGACGTGCGGCCACGGCCACCCTGCAATCAGCGGGTTGGCCACCCTGCAGCGCGGGCAGGGCTGCTCTCATCCCAGCAACCTGGGGCCTTGGCGGAACGCTGCTTGCTGTCCAGCCCGAGACGCAGCCCGGCCCTTTGGTGTGACCCGAGGCTGGGTCGGATCGTCCCGTTGTGGCTTCTGCCGCGCCGTTGCCCGGCTCCCCTCCTCACAGGCCCCCGCTGTTAAAAACACTTCCAAACACCTGAGAAAATAGCGGCTTTTTCTCTCTCTCTTTTTTTTTTTTTTTTTTGAATGGGTTCATTTATGGTGCTCAGTGGAGGGCTGCAAAGCAGATTGACCAAATCGATGTATATGGGATGCAGAAACCCGCCATTTTCCTGAAATAGTTGATTGTGTCTACACCTCGAGAGAGGGGAGGAAACTAACCCAACACATTTACATCAATACAAGTGGCAGCCTGGCTCCGGTTGGTGTAGTCCCGGCTCTGAGAATGAACTCTCCAGGGCCCTGAGCCAGGCGAGCGAGGGGCAGCGCCGACAGCCAGGAGAAGCCCTCTGGCCGGGGGCTTCCAGTCTGTGCTGCTGGCTGAATGCTTTTGCCGTGGTAGGTTAAATCTGCGGGATAAAAGGTACCAAGACAACATACCTTGCCAGGCTCACGTCTCTGTTGATGGCTGGCTACTGAGACACAGAAAATTAGTGACTTGGCAAACATCACAAAAAACCCTCTACCAGAGCTGTCAAATGAACCTCTGACCAAGAGCGTCCTTTCTCTAGCATACTGCATTTTAACGGTTTAATCTGTGTAACAAAGTATCTACGAGGGAGTTGAATTCAGCTCACTGACTTTACTGAAAAGAAAACTTGACCTCACAGAATGTGAATTTCAGGATTGATTTTGAAGAATGCAAGATTCCACCTTTCTATAAAATCAAATAATTCTCTATTTCATTTTCCCAGTAATGAGCATGTCCATAACTTTACACACTTTTCCTTCATCTTCTTCTGAAAATGGTATCTTTCCCTCTCAACAACTAAGCAGCTTTGGACTTCGAATTTTACTATAAGCTCTTTGTCTTTTAGCTTTGCAGCTGAAATTCATTATGGTACATTTTCTAAGGCAATATTGTGGAGAGCATGGAATATTTCCTGCAGGAAGAATTGGTTTCTATATATTTCTGTATGTTGTATTTGCCTCTCTTTTCCTCTAGAATAATGTAATTTGCTTTTCCCACTTCCTAATACTTCTGAACGATCTACATCTTCTTCTGCAGCTCCTTGATTTCTTCTTTTTATAACTATTTCCTAATCTAAGTACATACACACATCTACTTCAACCTATTAAAAAATTCAACAGATTTGAACTACACTTCTTTCTTTCATGTCCAGTTTTGAAAATTCTTATTCTCTGGTGTGCTCAACTTCACTCTCTCCTAAATCATGGCTCCCTCTGTTATCAATCTTCTTTTGGTTTTACAGAACTCATTAATTAAAAATAAATAAAAATTATTTCATCAGATACGTGCAAAGCATGCTATCCAAGGCTTACGCTTCCTCTGAAACCCTCATTTTTCTATTCTGCATTTAGACAAGAGACTTTACTTCTTGAAACAGGGATTACCCACAGCAATGGAGGATTCAGGACTGCGCTTTTCATTTGCTCTGTGTGATCATCCTAGAGGAATTATTTTGCAAATTGACTGCAAGCAAAGCAGCAAGGGACGAGCCCTCCCTGCTCTTTAAGTTGTTTTGGGACTAGTTTGTGTAGAGTCAAACTGGCGTGGACATGAGCTAGGCTGTCCAGCTGCCTGGGCTTTCCTTCCCTTGGGCTCCCTGGAGCCCAGCTAAGGCTGAGGGGATGAGGCTTCCACTTCCCTGTCAGCACACTCTCCTTGGGCAAGTGGGGAAGGGCCACTCTAGTTACCTGGGTCATGAAACTGCGGTGGCTGCTCTGTTGGGAGCTGTCTGGAGTACGGGCTTTGTACCTACCACGTCTGCATTGCCATTCCCCTCCTTGCCCCATTTTCATACCACACTCTCAGCCTGCATGGGATGTACAGGGGCAGGAGCACATTCCAGCGAAAGGGCAACCTATATCCAGGACAGGATGGCTCTCAGGCCCAGATTCAGCCACTGTAACTGGAGTGGGGGGGGCGTTATCCTCGCTGTTATACATGTGCAAGATGTGCAGGCTCCAGGGTGGAAGTGGTATATCTGGAGCCCAGAGGGCAGCCAGTAGCACCAACGACTGAAGGGGGCTGCTCTCAGGCAGTGACCTTGCCCCAGATACACCTCCTGTTTAGGCATCTAATCACCTTTTACTTCAGTGGGAATTAGGTGCCTGACATTCGAGAGTCTGGCCCCAAAACTAAAGTGGGTGGTGCAAGGGAAACAGCGTGAATCCTTAAGTCCTTAAGCAGCTGTTGAGAAACTGCAATAGAGGACAACAGTGTACCTGAGGGAAGCTGTCCTGTTCACCAACACCATCACTTTCAACAGATCTTCAAAAAGACAAAAGTAATTTTGTGCTCTGAACAGCTTACAAGGGTATATATTTGATTTCAGTGTACAATTCTTTGTCCTGGGTTGTAAGATAACATTTAAAAAAAAAAAAATCATTAAATCCTGATAAATATCCTCCATTGGTTACATTCTATTGAATTCTGATGCATGACCTCTATTAGAATAAAACTGGAGGCCAAAATTGCAGACTTTTAAAAGGTCATTTTATTATTTTCACAAGTGAATATTTTCTTCTTCTGTGGCATACCAAGTCACCAAGAGGCAGCAGTGATTTGGTTAGGTACACACCAACTGACTGGCCATCACATTCACTGATTGGCAAGCAGGCTGCCAAGCCAAATATTTGTTTCCTGTCAGTGGGCCAGTAAGTTGGGGTTTTTCTCAAGCTATGAGAGCTCACAAACCTCCTGTGATCACAACTGGGTTTGAGACTTCTAAACATTTATCAAATTTGGTTGTTTTGTTTTATTCGTTTATTTGTTTTTTTTTTTGTAGACGGCAGACAGAAAGTAAGCTTATGTGAGGCTTGCACTTTGGGAAATCAGGCAAAAAAAAAGGTAATTTTTAGTTCCCAGCTGAAAATGTTAAGGAAAAGGTGTTTTTTGGCTGTTCCCAGAACTGTATAGATTTGTCCCTGATACTTCAGGTAAAAAGATGTGAGCAGAGAAAGTAAATTTAAAATTTCAGTACATAGTTTCTTGCCATCCTCAGACTGAATTCTCATTTCATTTACACACTGTTGACTACAACTGGCTTTAAAATGTTGACTAAGGTAACTGCTGACTTCAAGAGCATTCAGCTGGGTGAAGCAGTGCTGGTTCGGCTATGCCACACAATGAGTGACAGAGATGCTTTAGCTGTACAAGTTACCACAAGGTAGTTTACAGGGGAAAGAGTCACTTCCATTCTATAGCAATAAAATTGGCTTTTATGTTTCACTTTACCCAGATCCAAAAGTCCCCATTTCCACATGTAATGACAAATCCACATCTGAATTTTTCAGCTTTGATCTGACTTGATAGTGAGCCGCTTTTTTGCTCCCGAATATGTATGTTTTAAACAGGGCAGCTAGAAGCTATACATACAACAAGCTTCCAAACTAAGAAGCAGCAAACTACACACATCGAACTTTACACATTTTATACATTAAAGTATATAGCCACACTTTTGATGATCAAAATTTGACTGTCTTTAAACCTCACAGTAGATGATTAATCTTCTTTCATTCCTCTGTGTCTGTCTCCGCAGCTCTCTTCTGGTTTTCTTCCCTTCTCTCAACCCATGATTTAGCTCTTTTTGCCCTGTTTTTTCACTCTCCACTGTTACCATTTTAATGCGTGTTTGCAGTTATTTGCCAACAGTAACAAGTGTCAAACATACTCTGCCATCAGAGATTGCATTAAGAAACCAGGAGAACACGTGGTAATTTCTCAATCCTGAGGCAGTTTCTTAAATGCCATGAATAATCAAAACTGAACAGCAAAGCTTTGAAATATCCTCAAACCATCCCAGACTGGAATACTTGATTATGAGACAATAGCTGCCAGTGTGTTTTCAGATATGACTTATTTTAAGCTTATTTTAAGCTCTTATTTAAGCTTTCAGAGAGTCTAGTAAAGTCTCTGGGCCTCATTCTGCTGTCATATGATACATTTGTCATCCCAAAAGGCAACAGGGATTATAGTGAGGCAGATACAGTTTGGGTTCAGATGTAAAAATTTAGTTTACTTATACATACAGTAAGAATATAAATGTTTCCCCAAGTTATTTTCTCAAAGGTTCTTTTGCACAGTAATTTCCAAAGTCCAGCTTTAGTAAGATGGCAACATGGTCTGAAAGAGCATGTGTTAGATGAGAATAGAGTAAGATCTGAAACCTAACTTTGGCTCTGCCACTCTCATCCCACACGGCTTCACTTCCTTGATCTATTTCCTTGCCTTTAAAATAGGGCCAGATTCATCTATCTCATGCCACTGCTGTGCGTGTACATGGTATGACTGATGAGTATCCATCTAGTACATTAACCACAAAAAAATTGCTGTAAAAATTCTAAATAAGCATGCATGTGGGCAGGTATTTCATGAAAGTGTTTGTCCTTCATTCTGGACTTGTGTTTGTGCTGTGCTTTTGTTCACAAAAGCTTTTTAAATGGTCACAGTTCTTAAGGCAGAGAAGTTATGAATCATGCGTGGAAACAGCTCCTGCAAGAACTTCTCAATAGAAAAGTTGTTTGGGGTTTTACTCACCTGCAGATCCAGTGGCATCATATTAAGACACTGCTTCCAAAAAGTAACTGCCAAAGCTCACATAAAAAAAAATAAAAAATAAAAAAATCCATGAGTGATTTCTCACCCAGGGACTAACACTGTTGAAATAGGAAAGAAGGATTTTTTACTGATGGGCAGCAATTAGCAACATAGGAAAATCCAATTTGCATTCACACCACTTCAGTCTCATTTGTTGGTGGGCTTGTATCCCAGCACAGCTTCATGCCAGCACTTAGCTGCTGAGCACACAACCCGCTGCCTTGCGAGGTGTTAACATTCATGAGTACTCACAGACATATTTTTGGTTTGGGGTTTTTTTGAGTTTAAGTGGACTTGCATGATGATTCAGAGTCATGCACCCCAATTGAGACTACTGTGGGCAGGAACAGCTTGCACTCGAGAGCAGTGTGAATCCCTGCAGATGCAGGAGGGCAGAGCCCATGTCTGCCTCTTACACTACAAAAACAGCCAGCAAATCCCCTAGCAGGCTTGTCAGAGAAGGAACTGGCTGAGGCATCAGACAAATCCTGAACACACAGGCTCTGTGAAAGAGGGAGGACAGAAAGCCAAGGGGCTGGAAGAACACACAATAACTAATAGTGAATAAATGACTGCTGACCCTCCCTATCTCTGCCCTCCTTTTCAAGCTGATCCCAGGGTAAGGTTGTACATCAGATGTTTTCTTTAGGAGTCTGTAGTCAGCTTCACATATGCAGTTTTAAACTCAGCTGAATAATCTTATGACTTCTCTGTTGATTGATTGTGTGCTGACATCCTTCCGAAATTAAAATACTTGGAATGAATAACTCTGATCATCATGCCTGTGATAATTCCTTAGCTTCTTGTAGGACTAATACTAATCACTTAGTGCTCAGTTCTGCTAGAGTTAGAGCAGTTTACTTTTTGGGTACTTCAGCTAAGTGAGAGCTCTCACTGAAATTCTCAAAGTTATATTCCCAAAATCAGTTTTTGGAATATCCCTTCCTGCCTCCAGTCTTGGGCATTGGATGAATATGAAAAACAGTTCCAAGATTTTCTCCCTCATATTGCAGTGCTTAAGCTTACTGACAGGAAGGAAGAGCAGTGGATGATTAATTTTAAAACAAAACATTCCTGCCAGCCCTCCACAGCTAAATGGAAGTTGTGGTGACTGAGGCATTTATGGAGAATATTTCAAAGTGAAATATATTTATCCCATGACAACACTCTATTACCATGAAATCTTGTGGTATACCTTTAATAATGAGTAATCTTCGTATAATAGTTTTCGTATGATGGAATTTGTTACATCAGTGAAACAAAGCTACTTTGCTATTTCTGGAGCAGACACATTCCAACCTTTTTTTTTTTTCCTTCTTTTTTTTCTTTTCTTTTCTTTTCCTCTTCTTTTTTTTTTTTTTTTAGAATATGCTTTCTTTTGCTGTTATTCATCCAGTTAGCAAAAACATCCATTGATTAACAATACAGTTACAATTCTACTCGCATAATCATCTGTATTATGCCCAACATCAAAAGGACTTACAGAACTTAAAGTAATGATTAATAATAATGGCTTTAGAAGCTTGACTTCTTCTGTAAATTCTGATCTGTTACATTGATTTAGTAAGCATTTCAGCTTGAATAGTCAACATAGGATTGCATGATCCATACTTAATTTGATAAATACATTATGTTTCTTTACGGGAGAAGTTGGTACATGTTATTTATTTAATCAAAGAAGTGATTTGTAAAGCTATCCTGTGCTGTGGTCCATAATAAATGTTTTCTTTAAAGCAGGAAAAAGTTCAGCTGTGCTCACATAGTTACATTATGCATGCTATCCTGCTGTACCAAGGGGGGGGAATTACATTTGCAAACAGAAAATAAAAATAGAATGACAGAGGAGAAAAGAAAACACTCTTTTTAGTGCCCTGTCTTGCAGACACATCTTAATGCACTCAAGAGAAACAACTGAAAAAACAGCATTAGCAATAATTCTACAGAAATCACAATGATTTGTATCCAGCTAATGACTGATGAACACAACTGTGTCTTGCGTTTGGACTTTAACTGCAGGGAAGGTAGCAGTGCCAGTACTGTCAGGAGGCAGTGGGGCCACGTGCACAATGGCTGAAAGAGCGACCACCCAAAGTGATGTATTTCAGTATTGAAGATGCACAGAGACCTGTATCAGTTGACCTCAGCCTGTGACCAGTGGAGTAAAGAGTCACTAACTCAGAAAGGTAACATGGGCTCTGCTTTTCAAAGCCTTTGTAAATCAGTATAAGCACCTTATAAAAAATGCAAAACTTTCTCGGTAACCAAGTGCAACTGAGATGGGATTGAGAGGCTGGAGGGTGTCCTAGGAGAAAACCTCCAGCAGCACACAGAGTCCCAGCTGCTCTTTTTGTACAGTACCCTTTGAAACACCAAACAGCAGGCAATACAGACCAGTAGGAAGCATTGCAACTCTCAGTTTAAAACTGTATATGTGCACCTTCTGGTGGTTTAAGTCACCAGAATCAGAAGTCTCAGAATCTACCATCAGGAGTCTTGAAAAGGAGATAGAAGAAACAGGGCCGAAGTCTCATTTGTACAGTGGCAGCAGGAGTGCAAAAAGATGCATTTTAACACCCCAAAATCAGTTCTTAAGCTTTCCTGATCCTAGAAAGATATTTTGTGCCGTTGGGTGCTCCTAAGCTACGCTTGCATCCTGATTTAGTAAGTATTTGGCTCAGGATGCAGAGAAAAGATACTGCTTCACTTAAACAATGTTTCAGTTTATTATGGTTTTTGGTCTTCAGAGGGTTTCATTTTGTTTGGCTGTGGCAGCTGTACTGCAGCTGCAGGCAGAATATTCTCTGTCTTTCTTTAGTGTCAACGGCAACATTTTTAGAAATTTCCTGTACTGCCTTGTTTGGCTCTTTTATTTCTTCCAGCTTTTATTTTATGTAATTAATCTTTTGTATGCACAGTGTTTAAGTTTGTGTTCTTCCTGCCTCATTTTTGATCTCATATGCTCTGTTTGGTCTTTCGCTTGTGTAGTAACCACTACAGCAATATTTTCCCTTTCCTTTTCCAGATCCAGCAACTCAGGCTTCAGAATTCACCTATAACTAACATGTGAAGTTCCTGTTACATTTTGGGTACTGCACCCAGTGAAAGGGGGCCTAGCTTAGAGAATCTTCAGATTATTCTTCTGCATCTCTAATCCAGTCATTTGAGTTACACTGACTATAAAACATAGTAGTGCAATACAGAGTCAGAGCCTGGATTTTTAGTCCATTGTGAAGACATAACACTCACTGGCCAGCATGACTGCTAATAGATTTTATTAGCATAATTGCATTTATGTTATTATACCAACTCAAGCACACCAAAATCAATATTATAGAATCATAGAACAGTTAGGGTTGGAAAGGACCCTAAGATCATATAGTTCTAACCCCCCTGCCGTGGGCAAGGACACCTTATGCTAAATCGTATAACCCAAGGCCTCGTCCAACCTGGTCCTGAACACTGCCAGGGATGGAGCATTCACAACCTCCCTGGGCAACCCATTCCAGTGCCTCACCACCCTAACAGGAAAGAATTTCCTTCTTATATCCAATCTAAACTTCCCCTGTTTAAGTTTTAACCCGTTACCCCTTGTCCTATCACTACAGTCTCTAATGAAGAGTCCCTCTCCAGCATCCTATAGGCCCCCTTCAGACACTGGAAGGATGCCATGAGGTCTCCATGCAGCCTTCTCTTCTCCAGGCTGAACAGCTCCAACTTCCTCAGCCTGTCTTCATACGGGAGGTGCTCCAGTCCCCTGATCATCCTCGTGGCCCTTCTCTGGACTTGTTCCAACAGTTCCATGTCCTCTTTATGTTGAGGACACCAGAACTGCACACAATACTCCAGGTGAGGTCTCACAAGAGCAGAGTAGAGGGGCAGGATCACCTCCTTTGACCTGCTGGTCAATGGCTCAATGTCCTGCTGGAGACCAGTAACGAGTGGTGTCCCTCAGGGATCTCTGTTGGGACCGGTCTTGTTTAACATCTTCGTCGCTGACATGGACAGTGGGATTGAGTGCGCCCTCAGCAAGTTTGCCGATGACACCAAGCTGTGTGGTTCGGTTGATACGCTGGAGGGAAGGAATGCCATCCAGAGGGACCTTGACACACTTGTGAGGTGGGCTGATGCCAACCTCATGAAGTTTAACCATGCCAAGTGCAAGGTCCTACACCTGGGTCGAAGCAATCTCAGGCACAGCTACAGGCTGGGCAGAGAAGAGATTCAGAGCAGCCCTGTGGAGAAGGACTTGGGGGTGTTGGTTGATGAGAAAATGAACATGAGCAGCCAGTGTGTGCTTGCAGCCCCGAAAGCCAACCGTATCCTGGGCTGCATCAATATTGACTAATAAGGTCTCAGTACTCTTAATTAAACTTAGTGTCTTATCTTCAAAGGAAAACACCCACCCCCCTACCTCCCCATAAGAGAGAAATACAATACAGGTAGACCTATGAAAGCCAGTGATTACTGAATTTTTTTTTACAGAAGGCCAGATTCAGAGTGTGTGCATATCTCTATAACCCCATGGACTTTATGGAGTTACCCTGATTCAAACTAGTTAAGTTTCTGGCTCTAGCTATTTTATTCCTTCCTTTATTGCCTTACCATGCCGGGTTTACAGAATGGACAGGCGAAATAAGAGCTCACAACACTTGAAAATGAGCTGTAATTTTGCGGTTCTGGATAAGTGTTTAACTGCTCGTCAAGGTTAACAATGTGTTTAGTGTGTGCACATGAGGGAAATCTTAAACAAGTGGATTTACAGAAAGAAGCCTTTGCTAGATTGAGAGTGTAAAGGACTATAGCTGCAAGTTAGAAGATAATTGCTTGAAAACATTGCTATAAAATTAAACCATAAACCTCCATGACCAGCCTCAGATATGTCACGGGAACAAGCGCATGCAAAGAAACAGCAGGGAAGGTAAGCGCTAATGCTCGCTCCTCTTCGTCCAGCAGCACTCCAGCACAAACTGTCCACTCCCAGCCCAGCTGGATGCCCAAATCAGGCTTGTCTTTCCAGGGAATAACAGATAAGAGAATCAAGCACCACAGCAGCTACACTCTACATCATCTCAGAGCAAGGATGGTGCTAAACAGAGTTTGCATCCTCAGTTCAGAAAACTCCTTTCCTCCCTTTTCATTTTCATTTTCATTTTTTTTTCTTTTTCTTTTTTTTTTTTTTTCCCTTTCTTTTGGTGTCAAATATAATTATCCCATGGTATGACAGCTGGCACACAGCACCAGGTTACAGCTCCTGTAGTCTGCAGTAATACAGATCCATATACTTTGTTAAAATCTGCCTCGTTTGTTCATTTCTACAGAAGTTATTTCTGTATCTTCAGAAAATGCACTTGTCATTGAAAAGGTATAAGTACACTTGAGCTGACAAAGGCAAAGTTTGTATTGGCATTTGGGGCATCAAATGGGGAATGACAACATACTAAAGTCTGAAGTCTGGCCGTAGCCTGTAGGAGCAATACCTCTGTATCATATTGGCGGTAGGTTATGCCCCTTCAACCAGTGGTAAGGATTTCAGAGTTTTTCCTATCATCTGTCAGGCCTTTCAGAATTACTTCCCACCCATTTTCTCCTAGAAAGGAGTAAACAGCAAGCAAGCAGCTACAGTGTCTGTGGGTTTGAACTTCTATTCCTCTCCGGGTTTTTGCATGGGGTATAGTTTGAGATATATATTAGACTTCCAAAAAAAGTATCACTGAAGTCAGCATTCAGCGTCAATATTTTAGAGGTGTTATACCATTCAAAATGATGTATTTACATGAGAAGCAATGTATTACACTGTTATCTGTGTTTAAGTCACTGCACAAGAAAATATTTTCAAGTATTTTCAACTTTTTTTTTTCAGGTATAATACAAAAAATGATGCTATAATGTTGCCCCTAATCATGAGCTAATTATAATCATATTGTAACAGACAACCTGGTTTTTAAGGTCCTTTTGTAAATTATATCCTGTAAACACAAAATCTAGAAAGGAACTCTTTTGAAAGCTGAGTTTCTTTTATGTGCCTGTGATGCTAGGACTTAGAGGTTTAAAGACAAAAAACAAATTACTATAAATCTGTGAAACTCACCAACCCTTCAAAGGCCTCATCATTTTGCTCTGACAATATAAAATGCCTTTTCTGTGCATCTGTATTGTGTTTGCACCCATTTTAACATACTTTGATGTTTATTGGCAAAGTGAGGCCCTTCGTTTAAATAGAAATCTGCACTTCTACCTTTTACAGTAATACAGTATCACATTCCAGCCTTGAAGGATCAGCATTGTTCAGGGGGCTCAAAACAAAAGGTAGTGGAGAATCAGAAACACTGTCTGAGCCCTAAATGCCACGGGGATCTATGGCTTTAAGAAGGAAAAAGTTGGCTGAAGTTTTTCTGTATTTTGGCCATTTGATCCTCTTCAGAAAGACAGAAAAATAAACTGAGCTGACACAGTGATTTCAAGGCCTCTGAAGATGTGTTGAAAAAAATAATTGTTAAATCTGCTGGCTCGAACCTATAGCAGCAATATTGACTTCTTCAGGGAATGAAACTCACTGGCAATCATCTGATACTCAGTCCCACATCAGGTGGGATGAGGAGATCAATCCAGTCTGGCAGTGATTCAAAACTAAACAGTATATTTTTGAGATCTTCAGTAAAATGAGTTGATGGAAACAGTTGGTTTTTTTTAAGTGAGTGGAGGGGTGTCCCAGTGAACGCTAGAGTCAGTAGCATGTATGCCAGTGCCTAATCTGCTTCACCAGAAGTCGTTAAAGAGCTCAGAGAATGAGGGCTTGTGGAAGCGCATTTGGGTATTATGTTGCTTTACCTAGTGTAGGCCAATTGGTATAAACAGTAAAAAATCATATAGATGTTAGAGGGTCATGCATGGGACAAGGAAGCTGCTAGGACCTGCACGTGTGAAGAGAACAGTCTGTTTTCACCCTTCCTTCATTCCTTTCTTTGTAAAAAAAAAAAAAAAAAAAAAAAGAAATATTTCATGGCAGAATAAAGACAATAACAGAGAAAGGGAATCCTAGCAATGCTTATTTTTTAAGTGTTTTTCCTTCCCACCCTTGCCTTTAAGACCATCAAGTAAAAAGCTTCTGTCAAACTTCCATTCAATTTATTTCTCTGGCTCCACAATGTGCTTTCCCTCCTTGCATCCTTCTTCAAGACTATTGCTGGCTCTTTGTTGTCTGGTTTTCTGGTTTTCGCTTCTGGTTTTGTTTTTTTTTTTTTTGTTCCTGGTTTTGTTGTCACTAGGATTCCAAAATTTTACCTAAATTGCTCAGAGGAAAAATATCAGAATATTTAATTTCATCAGCTTGAAGTACTTGGTTTCTCTATGGTTCTAGCACTTCAATTCAGCTGTAATATTTTGACTATAGCAAAATAACAAAATACCCTGAACTGTAAGCATTGAAGTCAATGCATAAAGATTGAAGTTTGCTGTGGGTGTCTTTTTGAGGTATTTTATGTCATGAGCAATGAGCAATTTTGACATTTTATTGTGATTGTAAACAAGAATAAAATTCCCTTTTTTCTTCTTTTTTTTTTTTTTAAGAAAACAAGTTGCCCCAGAACTTTTAAGCAGAAATTTCAAATGTTGTTCTGTTCTAATAAAAATAGTTATTGTACAACCACTGGTGGTTCAGACCAAAAATATGATTGCTTCTCCCAGAATTTAGCCTTTTGATTACCATTGACCATACTGTGATACATAGATTGATAGGTTTCAGCAAGATAACTGCTCTACACAGTTTATCTATCTTTGATTTTATACATTGTGGAAATTTGCATTTGTCTTTGCCTGACCACACTCCTCTTGGGTTTAAAACATTAGGGTGCCATGTTCGCAGCTCCTCTCCCGGATGGTCACAGGATCCTCAAACCACAGGAAACTACTCAGGGAAAAGAGAATGGATTTTCTCTTTTGTTTTAGCTCTGTCCCCATCGTGCTGTCCAACTCCCCACCATCCACCTCCATGCCATGACGCCAGTGTGTGAGCCTGCCACACTATCTCTCTTCCCAAGCTCTCTGTGGGGCCACACAGGGGCAGGTTGAATAACTCTGGGTAGACTACAAAGTCTGTGCCTGGCACCTGAATGGTCTCTGTAATTAACAAGTTAAATGAGGAGCTCAAGAGCATGCACAGAAGTCAAACCAGCCTCATTCAGTGATGTAACTTTCATACCAGAAAGGTCTAGATGTTGCAATCAAATGTGAAATTATCTTCTAGCTAGATGTCTAGGCAACTCATGTCATCCCAGTATTCCATAAACTACTTCTGAACCAGAGCAGAGATTTAGTTTGTTTTTTGC